ATAAAAAAGCCTTACATTGTCTTGTAGGCAATTATAACACGAGCATAAGTAAGCATATCTTTGTATTCCAAGTCTCTATCTACATGCGTCTTGTAAAACATCTAGTTCGTTTATCATAAGTATACTATAACAGAGTGAATAATAACCTTTTAAGTTTCTGGCTTTGATTCTTCACTGACATATCTGCGGGCTCCTAATATCATTGTAAATTATACGAACTTTATACAGGAAGTAGCTATTGGTAGTGTTTTCTAATTAGTGTGACATCAGAACATGGATTTTACAGGTAGTTCTGGACTTGATGAGACGTTAGTAAGTGCCTACGCGACATCTAGTCCACCTGCTAATATACATACACAAGGTACTGAAGCTTGATTGAAATGGTTAACTAAAGTGCATAATCATATCATCAACAAGGAATGCAACGGGGAGCCTAAAATCATTTACATTACAGTGTTTGAGCGTCCAGGGTTGCACGAATTCTTAGAGCAACTCAGCCAGTTTGTACATCTTATTCTTTTTTACCGCTGGTCTAAGTCTTGAAGGTTCCTTAGAGTTTACTACTACTCTTTACAGTGTTGTTATTCTCTGTGTTCTGGGGACAATTGTTTTAATATATGATCCTTACAAGATAAATACCAGACATATATTAAACGACAGGCTTTATCGACCTAGTACTGTCAGCACGAAAGTTGTCCTTGATGATATTGAGTACCATTTTGTTATCCCTTAGGAATCTAATGAGATCTCACTATGAAACCAAAAACATGTTGATAGCTACTGGACATTGTTTTTCCACTTCTTAAGCAACTTTCATCAGAAGAATATGTAAGAGCAAGTGCATCACTGACCCGCTTTGGGGTTCACTGATTTTAATTTTTTTTTTTTCATTTGATTTAAAAGAAAAAGAAAAAAACAAAAACGAACCAATAGCGGGCTGCCACATGGCATGGATCCGCAAAAAACTCATGAACCAGGTTCATCCGGAAGAGACGTTGTAAGCCGAGTTCAACAGAAGTGAATATTATAATATTCTTTTACCGGGAATCGAGTGAACTTGTGCTATAAACTCTTAATGCACTTGCTCTAAGACCGGCTCTTTACAACAGGTTTCATATGCCTGACTGGTTTGAGAAGCAAGGCATACCAAGGTCATCATCAGAGCCGGTCCGGAATATTTTGGGGCCCTTTTCAAAATATAAAAAAAAAATACATATTAATCTATATATTTAAAATTTTATAAAACATTTATTTAACAAATCATAGTTTATTAATAATATGATATATAAATAACTACTGAATAAGAAATAATACCTAAATAAAAATATAAATCAATACAAAAATATTTTATATCTTTGAAAGATGTAATAGTAAAACTAAAACTAACATTTTTACAACAAATTTTCTTTATTTTAACTTTACCATTAATTTTGTTTTATCTAACCCTAATAATGTGCATCTTTCTTACTATTTTATTATTACATTTATAAGCTAATTTTCTAATTTTTGTTTGTTAGACACTTGCTAATTAAGTACTTATATATATATACAATTTTTTTTTTAAATAGGGGCCCCTTAAAGTGGGGGCCCATACAAATGTTTCACAACAATGTGTACAAACCCGGTCCTGGTCATCATCATCATAATTCCTGAATTCAGATCATTGGTATGTTCGTAGAATGGGTTAACATTCGTAAACTATATAATTCATGTATAAAAGTCAATTTATCTAAATTTTTTATATATAAAAGGAATAAATATAAAAAAATTGCTAATTTAGCGTTTTGAATAACGGGTTACGATCATAATAAATTATAAACAAAATAATTTTCAAATATGTTGTACATACATAAGAAATTGATTTAATAATCAAATGTAAATTCAATAAGAAAAATATATAATAAGAAGAAACATATATATGTGACCATTTGAATTTGCAGCATAAAAACTATAAAATTATTGTATTTCAAATAATTATACAAATATTTAAATATGTGACTAATATTAAAATTTATATTTCAACCCGTAAAACAAAAAAATTATATATAAACATGAAAATATATATCCGCACGGTTGTCTGAGTCGAAATCTAGTTTGAAACAATAGGTTTGTATCTGTCATCTCTCTCCAATATAAACTATAAAGCTTCAATATTATATTGTTAATCTACTCTATTAAAATAAAGTCATTATAAAAATCTACTACCAAGAAGTCATAGTTGGACCATTTAATTAGTACCTTAACAAATTAACCTAAATATAATCATATTTTATTTTTGAAATAAATGAAATTGAGACTAATATCTAAATAAAATTTAAGAAATTTTTTATATCAAAATTCTAACAGATTTATGTGTTTTCAGGTAACTATTTTTTTAAATGAAATAATATATCTGAAATCTGTTAAAAGTTATAATTTTAAAAACAAATAAACAATAATTTGTTTCTGTACGTTTTAATTTTTTTTGGTAATAATAAAAACACAAAACTGAAATATAATATATTTAATAAAACAATATTTTGAGAATATAGTATTAACTAATTTAAGTTAGTCACATATCAACATTTCGAAAATACAAATGTTCAAACAAAAGTTCTGATAAAATTTTTGAAATTATACTATTTAATATGCTACTACATTTTTAAATAAAAAAATGGTTAATATATGGATAGTAAAATTTCATTTAAACAAATTTCATCAATTATAAAAAATTTGAACTAATTATATATAGACAATCTGAAGTTGATATAAAATATATATTTATAACCTATTTTATATTTTAATTGTTATTTTAAAAATAAAAAAGTACCCGCACAGAAGTGCAGATTCAAATCTAGTTAAGGTATTAAATTATATTTTTTTTTTCATTATTAAATTTTTTTTTACAAAAGTAAACATTAGAATTAAAAATTGTTAGGTACATATATATATTAGTCCGTCGACTAGTTATATCATAATGCATTCTTCATATCATCCCAATCATAGGGATTCTCCATGATAAATATAAGATTTTATTATAACTCCAATATTGTAATAATCTCAACTACAGTAACCTGCACATTCGTGCGCTTATATTTTTGAGTTTTCATAATTTCAAATAATCAAATAAAAAAATATTCATTAACATATGGTTTTTGAAAATATATAGCTGTAGAAATAAAATTTTAACATATGTTAATAACTTTATTTGTATAAAATATGACACGGTTAACAAATTTGAACCTTTTTAATAATATATAATAATTTATTTAAATGAAAGCATTTTTAAGAAATAAATAGGTTAATTTATCAATTTAGTATAATTTTATCATATTTAATTTATATAATAATTCTATTTTAATATAATATAGACTATATTTATAAATTTATAAAATAGAATTTTTTTTAGTTTTTTGGTTTATAATAAAATTTAATTAATATAATTTATACTAATATTATATTACTAAATTACAACATTAATTAATACATTATTTAACAAAAAGTATTTAAAAAGTTTAGTAAAATTTTGTTAGATTTGTTTTCAACAGATTTCTTTATAACTAAACAAAAATTAATTAATAGTTTAAATTGATTTATTATTAATATTTTTATTGATTATTATGTCATATTATGTAATTAATGAAATAGACCTAGTAAAACTTTTTAATGGTAGATAAAAATGGTATTTCTCTTTCAATAGATAAGATTTAGGAAAACAAACTAGGTTACAATACAAACGAATCTAGAGAAACTCTTCTTCTTCATCTTCTTTCGTATATGTACTTGTAACGTTTTGAGCACTCCAATACCTTTTTTTTTAGATCGTTGGACTTTTATTGATCACATTTCTATCAATCTGGTTTTGTATTAGTGAAACAAGTTAGAGCATTAGAAAACATGGCCTCTTTCCCCAATCTCGACTCTGCTGCTGGACTGAAGAAGCTCGACGAGCATCTGCTCACTCGTTATTACATTACAAGGTTAGACTTGTTTTCCTTTCAATGTATATCACAGAAAACCAACTATGTTGATCGAAAATCTGAACCCCAATAGTCCCCAAGCCCAAATAGAGTAGATGTTAACCTACTACCTTTATGAATAACCAGTTGCAGATTTAATATTTTTAAGATGTCGAATAACTATATATATATACTTGTGCAGCTACAAGGCCTCAAAAGATGATATCACTGTCTACGCGGCTCTTTCAAAACCTCCACCTTCGCAGTATGTGAATGTATCTCGTTGGTACAACCACATTGAAACTCTCTTGAGTATCTCGTAAGTTCCCTAGTTGCTTTGTATGGATTTTGATGGCTCGTTTTAGGTGTTTGCCTCAGGACCGAATCTGGGATTTAGGAGGCCATAAACATTTTTATTTGAAAAATTGTTGAGGCCTGGATCATTGTAAAGTAACTCTATAAAATTTTGGGGATCAATACAAATGTTTCATCCAACTGTCCAGAACCGGCAATGCTGTTTGGATATTGACTAAGTCGTGTCTCTCTCTCTGCAGAGGTGTCTCTTGTGAAGGGAGTAGTGTTACTATTGATGGATTTACCTTTACCACTGAAGAGGCTGACACTAATTCTAAGGTACTCTATTGTTTGTTTTTATTTGTAGCTTTGTACATATAAAAGAGTTCCATGAAATCATATGTTTGGCTCTTATTATATAAGATTATACACAAGTGAGATTGATGTCTTAGATATGTTATTACTAACATCATATATGATAGGATGGTGTGTGGGTTGTTGTTGATGATGATAATGTTCAAGATGTTGAACTTATCGGCGAAGAGACTAAAGAAGAACAGAAAGCTGCTGAAGAGCGAGCAGTTTCTTTGATAGCATCCACAAAGAAGAAAATAAGTAAGTTTCGGTTTGGACACTCATCGTCTATATACATAAATGGGATTTGTTTGATATTCATGGGGTTTTTCTTTGGGCAGTTTGGGAGTCGGGTGTAATAATTGTGATGCCGAACAATGGTGTGGCTGACATGGAGAAGTTAGAAGAAGATGTAAGATCTATTCAAATGGAAGGGCTGATTTGGGGATCATGTAAGAGCTGGTGCATCTCTAACACCTTCAATATCTTTCTATATATCGGAAAGGTATACTAATATTATTATACGTACAACCTCTTAGCAAAAATTGTCCCAGTTGGGTATGGAGTCAAGGTTTTGCGGATCATAGCCTCCACACCCATAAATGAGCAATATGACCTTGCCGATACACTTTGCGTTGACCATATAACTTCTTTTGGGAGTTCCTGTGTTTATTTTAGTGTCTTGCAATGTGAGTTTGTGTTATGCACTCTTTCCTTTAAAATGTGAAGATGGAGATGCATTGGATCCTCCTTAATTATTTCTCTTTAATGGAAAATCATCAGCTCTAGTTCTTATAAATCCGAAAGATGATGAGGCCGACATAAAGAAGCTAGAGGAAACTGTAAGATCCATTAAGTTGGATGGGTTGTTTTGGGGAGCATGTAAGTGGGTTTTATTTACGAAATACCATGCGTTTTTACTTATAAACTTATAAGTAAAAACCTCCTGATATTTCAGAATGTTGTAAGTTATAACATTCTGAATTCTCTCATTGTTTACTACAGCAAAGCTTGTCCCCATTGATTATGGAATCAAGTTGTTGGGAATTGAGTGCACCATGCTTGGACTCCTTGGGATGGAACTTTGCACCATTATCAAAGAGAAAATAATGGATAGTACGTATGTCCAGAGCTGTCAAACTCTCATGTTAAACAGAATATGTAAGTATCATAATCCATATTTAAACCCGTTGTTATGCTTATTTTTTTCTTATATAAAATAATGTCAAAGCTGTTCTATGGGTGTGTATGGTGAGGTAAAGGTAATGGGGTCACAGAAGAGGAATCTGATGATAAGGTACTCACTTTGATTGTTGATTTGTCGTCCATTAGAGCTTCCATGGATTATGTTTTGCTCTTACTGTAGTTTGTTCAGTGTTATATATTATTGCTTCAATCATACCGTAGGATGATATGGCTAATGATGATGATGGCGTTTTGGGGGAAGAGAGTGTAGTTTCTTGGAAAATTTCCTCAAAGAAGAGTTGTAAGTTTGGTTTATAAAATCTTTGACTACGTTAGTTTTAAATTTAAGTTAATTGGGTTTGTTTCATCGGATTATCTGATTGTACAGCTGCTGGCAAGTCAGGGTTAGTGTTTTCAGAATTGTATAGTGGCAACTCCGACGTAAAGAAGTTAGAGGAATCTATAAGATCCCTTCAGACAGAAGGAGTGGTTTGGGGAGCATGTAAGTTGATTGATCTCTTACACCCTCCATTTTTTTCTCATATATAGGATGGGTTTACAATGTCTATTTTTTTACAGCAAAGATTGTAAAAGTTGGCTACGGAATCAAGTTTTTAAGGATGGTATTCACCATTGTTGACGACCGTTTGTGTTTCAACACTGTGATCCGAAACACTGGCGGTATCCCCTTGAACAGAATATGTAAGCAATCCAAAATCCTAGAAGCTGAAAGATGATCTGTTTTGTATTAATCTTGGCTTGAATAATCAATGCAGAGGGTGGAAAAGAACTCCAAGGGGAAGCTTTATTTAATAAGATAAGTCCTTTGGATACCTCTCAAATAATTTTGATAGTTTTATCAATTATCATCATCTCTTTGTTTTCAATATTCCGTCAACCAAATCTTGGTATTCAGAATTTATCAAGAAAAAATGAATAATGCATATGAGATTCTTAATGTTTATTATCCATTCGCGAAGAAACGTCAACCAAATTTAAATACTTATTTCTTAATTTATACGATTCAAACGTTAATTTCATGGAGAAATAAGTATTTAAATTTGGTTATGTGAGGAAATAAGTCTAGAACTATTTTTCGGGGATATATAGAAAATATAATAGTTTGGGAATATCTTGTCATATATGATAACTAGGTGTTTTGTCCGCACATGCGGACTTAATTATTTTTAAGACAATTTAAAAAATCCTCAAAATAAATGATTATTTTCATCTAAAAAATTAGACCTAAAACATTAAACGTTTTTACATGATAAAATTATTCATAAATTAAAAAAAATCTATTTTTCCCTTTAAAACTTTGAAAACAAAATCTAAAATCTGTTTCATTTCTTCTCAATTGATAAAAAAATATAGAAATTTATCTTTCAATTTGATAAATTGAATCAATAAATATACATTCAAAAATTGATCTTACAGAAAGAATAATATTAGTTTGGATAATAATACAATATTTTGAATTTATTTTGTCAACAACGTATTTTTTTTCTTTTTGAATGATCTTTTATTTTATTATGATTAATTCATGTTTAATGTTATACTATATAAAATATAAAATAAATTTAATTTAACGTGTGAGTTCAGAGGCGAAAAATTACTTCACAAATATATATATCATTATGTTTTATTATTATATTCTTTTAATTAGATAATAATTACGTTTTATAAATTTTCAATTTTCTCTTTTGAATTATGTACAATTAAAAAGTTTCTTTATGAGTATTTATTTATTTGTTTTTTTATTTTTTATTAAAATATATTTTCCGGATAAAAACACAATATATATAGGAATTATCTTTTTTCTTTTTAAATATATATTTAGATTATGGATAATTCTTATCATTATTATTAATTTAAATCATTTATCTAATCAAGTAAATATCAATTTCGTTTTTATTTATGTCTAATTTATATATTTTATTCATTAAAGGTATAAACGATATTAACCACTCTAACTTTTAATGTGAGAGCTCCGTTGCGAAAAATCACTTCGCAAATAATATTATAGAGATATTCGTGTCGAAATAGAATATTAATAATCAAGTTGGTTAATCCAACATAAGTATCTCTTTTGAATCATTTTTCTGTAAGTTTTTTGGTATAAGAAACTGCTTGAAGCTGAGGGATACATAATGTTATATAAAGGTGAACTGGAGATTTTTCAAAATAATTTCCAAAACAAACATAATTTAACAAAGAAGATGACAAATAGAATATAAGCTGAATATCCATCACACTGTTGTAAAATTATATACACCTCAGTTATGAATGAATTTAATCCAACTACGGATCATTTTACATTATATTTTACATAATGAAAACATTGTAGACTCTATAATTAAATTGTCCTCAATACGATATGTATGAAAACACTACTGGAGATATCAGAGCAAAGATCCATGTGGTCTTCAAGCTACATTATACACAATACCTCAACAGCTTCTTTTCTTTTTTAAAATGGTGCAGAGTCTCTCTCAAACACATCCATTTCTATTAAACCAAATCATTCAAAGATGAAACGCATAAGAAGCCTTACTGACTTCATTTTCTCACCCTTCTTATCATACAAAGGCACAGATCGAATCCCAGGTCTTAGTTCTGAAACAGGCAAGCATGTTTGTCCACCAAAATCATCTTTATCAGACATATCATACTCTCTGACTTCAATCCTAAGCAATGCAAGCTCTGGAACTGTTAATGGGAAACTGAACTCCTCATCCCAAATTGGATACCAGTTGTCTTCTATTACTCTTGTCTTCTTTTTTGCATTATCAGCTGGTACACCAACTATGTACACCTACAAAATCTCAAAGATGCACAGTCTGGTAAGGTAAGAATGTTATAAAGATCCTATTGGTGAAAACTGATATTACCTTAGTGTAGAAATCAGGAGGAGAATATGTGTCGAAATGAGTGTGACTGAAGTCTAAACGCCATCCATCTCCCATATATACTTTCACCTATTGAAAAACCGCAACAAAATGAATAATCCATATGAGATTCTTAATGTTTATAACATCATTTGATTGGCTTGCCTTTAAGGTTTCTTTAACGTGAAGTTTCTTCTTAGGGTCAAAAACTTCGTCATGAAACCCTTTCTTCATCAAGAAGTTAGGTTTCTTTACATATCCACAACCTCCATTGGCTCTAAACATGCCGTGCATCAACCACAGAGATCTCCCATATCCCTATAATTAATCACAAAAGATTTGTAATACAAAAATGTAAACCAATGCTAAAAAGGTAGCGTAAAGGTCAAGGTATCCTTGGACCTAAATCATAGCTTGTTACCTGCATATTGAATGCAATCATTTGTGCTCCATGAGTCCAACCAATTAGCGGTTTGTAGTTTGAGGAGTTAAACCTTGTCCCTTTAGGGTATATCCTAAGCAAATTCTTCTGTGTAAACCTATAAAACAACATATAGAGATCATGTTGCATCCCCCAAGTCTTAGGTTAGTATATAAACTAGTATTAACCTTACGACATCTTGACTATTGGATGAACAAGTCCTATCAAGTTCTTGCTCACTTAAACTCAAACGTCTCACTTTATCAACCACAACTTTCATCTCTTCCTTCACCGTTCCCTTAGGTTTCCCAGCATGAATGGTGATCAATCTTTTGTATGCTGGTTTCTGATCTTCACTCGTTTCTTCTTCCTCTTGATCACTATCACTCTAATTCAAAACTAAACTATAAGTAACAAAACAACAAACAATGTTTTAAGTTCCTTTTTTTCTTATACCTTGCTTTCACTATCTTGGTAAAACAATATACTTTCTAGTGTCTGAATCTCTTCTGTTCCAGGTGTTTCCTCCTCTGAAGATGGAGATACATTACCATTCTCCTTTTGTTTACCTATAGGGTTTCTTGATTCAAGATACTCTTTAGGTGGTTTAGTTGAGATGATTATCCGATGAAGCAGTGAAGCAGGAGAAGGAAACTCTTCTAAGCTATCTGATTCAGGGTAATACAACATTTGTCCAAATATCTGCGTAGCCATCTAAAAGAAAGAACCAAAAAAAGGTTCATAAAATGTCAAAACTAAAATGAATACTATTCTAAATCAGTGTAGGGGGAGCTTAGGCATATTAATCATAAACAAAACGATTTTTTTTAAACCAAAAATAGCCTAGACGCTAATCCTCTATAAAACGCATAACCGCCTCGCGATTTCTTGAACATTAATTTAAAACTGATAAATTCAAGTTACCTCAGCCACTTTGGCTTGAAGATCAGCAGTAAGATGATCCTCTAAAGTAATGATAACCGGATAAGGAGAGCTAGAAAACGCATGATCTCTTATCGATTTCAAGCATGTGATCAGCGGTACAGGCGTTGTAAGCGTTCTGAAATTAAACCAAGAAAACCGAATATTCAACTGTTTGGTCTGAAAATGTTATCTTAATAAAAAAAAACATGTTTACTTACCTTCCGTGAAGAACATTAATATCTGTTCCAGTAGAGTTAGGCCAAAGATCAAGCTCAATGACACGAACTCCTCTTTGCAAAGCTTTAATCACAGGGACTTCGCTACAATCACTACTTAGTTGATTCCCCGTAAGATACGAGTTATGTCCCGTGTATATAAAATAATGCGACAATGGAGCTGACATGTCTTGATGCACCTGTCTCAAAAAAACACAAAACATTTCTTGTAATAAAAAACAAAGTTTTTCGATCTTTAAAAACATAAAGATTAATTAATCTTTACGTGAGGTGTGATGGGAGGATTGAGATCGTCGTAGAAAAGAAAGTTGAAGAAATCGTCTAGGTCGAGGCCGTGACGTGTGTACCGCGTGACGTGGTGTCTCCGTCGTATGACCTCGTCGATTAAACGTTGAGCCTCGGCGACGGTGGTTCCTGAGTTGACTTGGTTGTCGTCGAGGAAAGAACAGAGCTGCTCTGCACCCATAACGCCGTCGTCGTCGCCGCCGCTGCAGCCGACGGAGAACTGGCAGAAGGCGTCACGGACGTCGTCGGTGGGTTGGACTTCGTTGATTTTGAATTTACGGTTGAAGCATTTGAACATTTTGTAGTTGTAGCTTCCATTGTCGTGTGACTCTGTTTTCTTCTCCTTCCCCATTGTTGAAAATCGAATTTTTTTTTATAATTAAAAAAAAAAAGAGTTTTGATTATTGGTACTATTAGGGTTTCTTGCTAGTCAAGAAAACTTTGTTCTTCGGGGAAACGAAGAACAGAGATTTGTGGATTTGGTGGTTGAAGATGAGGGAGAAGGAGAGTTCCTATAAAAGAGGAGGCTTTGAAGCGGGATCGTTTGACTTTTTTTTTTGTAATCTATTCTTTTCTTTCGAGTCTTTTTTTATTTTTTAAAAACTGTTTTCATAAAAAAAAACATGAAGTATTACTCTTCATTGTTTGGGAGAAAAAATCACTAATAAGAGAGTATCTTAATTTTAGTCTTTGTTCTTTTATTTAGTAAAGGCTTTTTCTCTTCTTTTTCTACTCTTTTCAGGTGGAATTTTTCTTAAAACAAATCTTAATCTAAGAATATATGATTTACAATATGTTATATTTGTGGTCCAAAACTTTGCTTAAGGTACATAGAATTCATATTTGGAATCCTTTTTTCGTTTAATTGATTACTTTTATATTGTGCATTGCATATTTTGTCTCGCCAAAAAAAAAAAAAAATATATATATATATATATATATATATAGCTTTTTCAGTTTATTGGAATAACTTCCAAATCTTCATTTTATCTCATCATCACCTATGATTAGTGATTTGATTAGCTTTGGACATATGTAGATTGTCACTGTCTTGGCAAGTAGATGCACTATTAATTATTTTCATCTGATTATATGCAATATTGTACGTAGTACCAAATGTATGGAAGATGGGTTCAAAATAATTGTAGAAAAAGGTATGGAAGCTAGGTTTATGGTCATATACTGTGTGAATATGATAAACAATGTAGCGAGACTCGAACTTAGTTATGTGACTTAAGCGCCAGCTAAACAAGTGAAGATCATAACAAGTAACACATGCTTGTTTCACAAGTTATCTCTTGTTTCTTATAAAATCTTGTGTCTAAATGTCGGCTTTACGAGCTTGAGATGATCTTGAACTGTATCCATGTAACCTAATCATTCCGGAGGTGTAGACACGGAAGTCATTTCTGGACCAGACAAGCTTGATGCCTTTGTGTATCTTGGATTTGGAAAAAGTCTTGCACTACAAGAAAACACGGCGATTCTAACGGAAAAATTCGTCGGAACGTCGTCGGAATATAGGTATTCCGAGGATATACCGACGAAACCGGTCGTCGGAAAATTTTCGTCGGAAATTCCAGTTTCCTCGGAATTTCCTCGGAAAATTCTGAGGAAATACCGAGAACCACAATTCCGAGGACATTCCGAGAAACCATTTCGTCAGACTTTTCTTCGGAATTCCCTCGGATTTTACCGATGAAAACTTCCGAGGGATAGATGTTATCGGAAAATTCCGACGACAGGATTCGTCGGAATTTTCCGAGGACATCACGTCGTCGGAATTTTCCGACAAACGAGTTCCTCGGAAAATTCCGAGGAACTGGGCTTCCTCGGAAATTTCCGAGGAACTGGTGTCCTCGGAAATTTCCGAGGAAGCCCAGTTCCTCAGAATTTTCCGAGGACTCAATTTCCTCGGAAAATTCCGAGGAAGCCCAGTTCCTCGGAATTTTCCAAAATTTATATTTTTTTTTTTAATTATAAATTATTGTTTTTTAATTAAAATTCGAAAATATAAAATAAAATTGTAAACTGAAAATATATTAGATAATAGAGTAGTTCAAATAAAAAAAAACATTCAGAGTTTTTGAAAAAAAAAAAACTACGGGAATTGCTCGTTCGGGTACATCCGCT